AAAGACTAATAATAGTATGTTATGCATCGATAGCAGCAACAACTTTTCCAGGTTCTGCAGTCATCTGAACAAAATTATAGACATTCAGCACATTCCATTAAAAAAGAAAAAACCAAAGAAAAGAAAAATATCCAGACAACAGCAAAGTTCTGTTGCTGTTGTGGTACCTGGCACCATTTTTTCTATTACCTCTTAATCATCATCTGGAAAGAGAATATTCTAGACTAATATCATTAAATGTAGCTCTGATAAAGCCCGGTCCCTACTATGTATCATAAAGCAGGTACTAGATATTTTACATTCATAGAGGTATGATACAGTGCCGTCCTGCATCAATAATACTAGATTCAATTTTGGTTTGAAATTTACTTTGTCTGCAAATAAGATTGCTACCCCTGTTTTTTTCTGGGCTCCTGTCACATGGAGAATTGTTTTCTATCTTTTCACTTTCACTCTCTGGGCTTCTTTTTGCACTAGGTGTGTTTCTTGTATACAACATATTGTTGAATTTTGCTTCTTAATCCAATTTGTCAGTCTATTTCTCTTGATTGGTGAGTTGAGGCCATTGACATTGCTGATTATAACTGATATGTACTGACTTATTATTGGCATGTTATTGGCTTTTTGTTGACTCATTTTACTTTTTCATCTTCTCCTTTTAATTTCTTGCTTTGCCTATTTGATTTGCTCTGTTGGGCCTCATGGTGTTGTTGCCTTCATTGTCTTTTTCTAGGATCTTGTTTAGAATTGCTTGTAGTGCTGGTTTGGTATTCATGTAATTTCTCAGGTGTTCTTTGTCATGGAAGTGTCTTATTTCCCCATCTATTTTGAAAGAGAGTTTTGCTGGATACATCAGTCTAGGTTGGAGGTAGTTCTCTTTTAGTACTTGAAATATCTCATTCCAGGCTCTCCTTGCCCCAAGGGTTTGTGTTGAAAAGTCTGCGGGGATTCTGATGGGCTTTCCTTTGTATGTGATTTGTTTCTTTTCTCTTACTGCTTGTAGTATTTTGTTCTTCTGTTGGGTTTCTGGGATCTTGACTATTATATGTGTAGGTGTAGATTTTTTTGATTGTAGCTAGTTGGGGTCCTATATGCCTCAGTTATCTGAATGTCAAATTCTTCCCCTCTGTTTGGGAAGTTTTCTGTCATTAATTCTGCAAACAGCTTTTTGAAGTCCTTTGTATTTTCTCCTACTACTTCATGTATTCCTATCAGTCTTATGTTACTCTTATTTGCATCATCTAGGAGTTATTGGATGGATTTGTCATGATCTCTTACTGTTTTTAAGAGACCTCTCTTTTCATGGTCACTGACTGCAACCTTATCTTCTATATCTGAGAGCCTATCTTCACATTCTTTTATTCTGTTGCGTACACTTTCAATAGAGTGTTTAATCTCCTGGATATCTGTTTGAATCTGTTTTATGGATTCCATTTCTTTCCTGTGTTGGGCATTTACTGTTTCCATTTCTTTCTTATGCTGGGCTTTCATGGCTTCTATCATGGTCCTGAGCTCATCTATTTTTTTGTCATTTTCTGTTCTAGAGTCTCGAATCATGACTTCCATTTTGCTCACTATCTCTATGGTGATCTGGGAAATTATTTCTGTTTTGAATTTTTCTAAAGCCTGATTGATCTGTTTTGTTGCTTCCTGTGCTTTAAGTGTCCTGGTGGTTCACTATCAGACTTTTCATCCTCATTTGCCCTACTGTTTGCCATTGGTAAACTGGATGTCTGTCCTTGTGTCTTGCTTAAGTGTTTTCCCATTTTTATTTTTGTTGTTGGGCTGTCCTTGGTTTACTCTCTGGATTATCACCCAAATCTTCCTGATATAGTTGCGCCCTAGCTT